TAGAAATCAATAACAAGCAAAACTTTGGACACTATACAAATACATGGAAATTAAACAACATGCTCCTGAATGACCAATGGGTGAAAGAAGAAATAAAGCAGAAAATCAAAAAATTCCTTGAAACAAATGAAAATACAAGCACACATACCAAAACCTATGTGATACTGCAAAAGCAGTACTAAGAGGGAAGTTTATTGCAGTAAGTGCTTACATCAGAAAGGTTGAAAGATCTCAAATAAACAACTTAATGTCATACTTCCTGGAACTTGAAATGCAAGAACAATCCAACCAAAAAATTAGCAGATAGAAAGAAATAATAAAGATCAGAGCAGGGGCTGGCCCGGTGGCGCACTGCTATAGTGCGCCGCTTGGGAAGCGCGGCAGCGCTCCCGCCGAGGGTTCGGATCCCACATACAGACCGGTTCCCGCTCACTGGCTGAGCGAGGCACAGGAGCAGCACCGAGGGTTGCAATCCTGTTGCCGGTCCCGGTCCGGTACGGGGGCGACACTGAGGGTTGCGATCTGTTGCCGGACACGGAAAAAGACAAAAAAAAAAAAAAAAGATCAGAGCAGAACTAAATGAAATAGAGATCTAAAAAAATGATTCAAAAGATCAGCAAAACAAACAGTTGTTTTTTTGAGAAGATAAACAAAATTGACAAACCATTACCTAGACTAACCAAGAAAAGAGAAAAGCCCCAAATATCAAAAATCAGGTATGAAAAAGGAGACATTACAACTGATTCCACAGAAATACAAAGAATCATTAGCGACTATGATGAATAACTATACATCAACATATTTGAAAATCAGGAGGAAATGGATAAATTTCTGGACACATATAACCTATCAAGTCCAAACCAAGAAGAAATTAAAAACTTGAACAGACCAATAACAAGTAACAAGATTGAATCAGTAATCAGCAGTGGCTTGGGTTGAATGTTCCACCAAAACTTAATCTCTACTGTGACTGTTAAGAGGGCAGGAAATCTTATTATGGTAATTTCAAGGTGAGGATGATGCCTAGTGAATGGATTAAAAATGCTGCTCATGGGCGTTGCTCTGTGAGCTTTGAAATGAGCATGCAGGAAGAGCTCTCTCTCATCCACCATCTTGTGCCAAGTGAGATTGCTGGGTCACTGTCACCACCAAGGCCTTCACCAGCTGTGTTCCCTGGACTTTGGACTTCCCAGCCTCTGAAACTGTGAGTGATAAATTTCATTTTCTTATAAATCTCCCAGTTCCAGGTATTTTGTTATAAGCAACAGAGACAGACTAATGCAAGCAGTTTCCCAACAAAGAAAATCCCTGGACCAGAAGGCTTCACTGCTGAATTCTACCAAACTTTTAAAGAAGATTTAATAACAATTCTCCTCAAACTATTCCAAAATATCAAAGCAGAGGGTATTCTTCCAAACACATTGTGTGAGGCCAGCATTACCCTGATACCAAAACCAGACAAAGACATGACAAAAAAAAGAAAGAAAGAAAGAAAGAAAGAAAGAAAACTACCAGCCGATATCCTTGATCAGCTTAGATGTAAAAATTCTAAGTACTAGCAAACAGAATCCAACAGCACATCAAAAAGATTATACACCCTGATCAAGTAGGATTCCTCTCAGGAATGCAAGGATGGTTCTACATACATAAATCGATAAATGTGACACACCACATCAGCAAAATGAAAGGCGAAAACTGTATTATCATCTCAATAGACACAGAAAAAGTCCTTGATAAAATTCAACATCATTTCATGATTTAAAAAAAAAAAAACTCAACAAATTAGGTATAGAAGGATAGTATCTCAACACACTAAAAGCCATATATGACAAATCCACAGTTAACATCACCCTGAAGGGGAATCACCTTGAACAGGGACATCTAACATCACCCTGAAAAGGGACAAGACAAGGATGCCCGCTCTCACCACTTCTATTTAACATAGTACTGGAAGTTGTAGCCAGAACTATTAGGCAAGAGAAAGGGGAAAATGGCATCCAAATTGGAAAAGAGGAAGTCAAATTATCCCTGTTTTCAGATGTCATGATCTTATATATAGAAAAATCTAAAGACTCCACCAAAAAAACTTAGAGCTGATAAACAAATTCAGTAAAGTTGCAGGATTTAAAATCAATATAAAAAAATCAGTAGTGTTTCTATACACCAGCAATGAACTTGCAGAGAAAGAAATCTCATTTACAACAGCTATTAAAAAAGTAAAATACCTAGAAGTAAATTTAACCAAGGAGGTGAAAGATCTCTACAATAAAAACTACAAAACACTGATAAAAGAAATTAAAGAGGATGCACAAAAAATGGAAAGACATTCCATGCTCATGGATTGGTAGAATTAATATTGTGAAAATTACCATACTACCCACAGCAGTCTCCAAATTCAATGCAATCCCTGTCAAAATACCAATGACTTTCTTCACATAAGTAGGAAAAGCAATCCTAACAGTTATATGGAATAAAAGACCTCAAAAAGCCAAAAAATCCTGAGCAAAAAGAGTAAAGTAGGAGTCACTACCTGTCTTCAGAATATACTACAAAGTTATAGTAACTAAAACAACTTGGTATTGACATAAAAATAGACACTTGGAACAATAGAACATAATAGAAAACTCAGAAATAAACCAATGTACTCACGGATCTTTGACAAAGGCAATAAAAACACACACTGGATAAAGAACAGCCTTTTCAATAAATGGTGCTGAGAAAACTGGATATCCATGTGTAGAAGAATGAATCTAGACCCCTCTCACCATATACAAAAATCAACTCAAAATGGATTAAAGACTTAAATGTAAGACCTGAAACTATAAAACTTCTAGAAGACAACACAGGGAAATGCTCCAGGGCATAGGGCTAGGCAAAGATTTTATGAATAAGACCTTAAAAGCACAGGCAAAAAAAGCAAAACTACACAAATACGATTTTATCAAACTAAAAAGCTTTTGCACCACAAACAAATAACAGAACAAAGAGGTAACCTACAAAATGGGAGAAAATCTTTGTGAACTACACATCTGACAAGGGGCTAATATACAGAACATACAAGGAACTCAAACTACTCAATAGTAAATAAATAAACAAATAAATAACTCAATTTAAAAACGGGCAAGGGAGCTGAATAGACATTTTGCAAAAGAAGACATACAAATGGACAACAGATCCATGAAAGAATGTTCAACATCACTAATCATCGGGGAAATGCAAATCAACACCACATTGAGATATCATTTCACACCAATTAGACTGGCTATTACCAAAAAGAGAGAAAATTACAAATGCTGGTGAAGATGCAGAGAAAGGGAAACCTTTATACATTGTTTGTGGGATTGTAAATTAATACAGCCATTTTGGAAAACAATATGGAGGTTTCTCAAAAAACTGCAGATAGAACTACTATATGACCCAGCAATCCCACTACTAGGTATATACCCAAAGGAATGGAAAGCATTATGTCAAAGGGATACTTGCACTCCCATGTTTATTGCAGCTCTATTCAAAACAGACAAGATATGGAACCAAGCTAATTGTCCATCAATGGGCGATTGGGTATATATAAACAATGGAATACTACTCAGCCATAAAAAAGAATGAAATTCTACCATTCACAGCAACATGGATGAGCTTAGAGAAAAAATTTTTAAGTGAAATAAGGCAAGCACAGAAAGAGAAATACTGCATGTTCTCACTCATATGTGGGAGCTAAAAAAATGAAACAAACACACAAACAAATATATAATAATAATAAGTGAACTGTTAGAAGAAGAAAGAAGAACTGTAGTTACTAGAGGTGGGAAAGGGAGGAGGGAGGGAGGATAGTAAAAAGCTGGATAATGGACACAAAATTACAACTAGATAGGAAAAATAAATCCTATTGGTGTACAGTCAACTCAAGAAACTATAATTAATGACTTACTGCATGTTATCAAACAACTTGAAGAGAGATCAAATGTTCACATCACAAAGAAATATAAGTTTTACAATGATGAATATGCTAATTACCCCGATTAAATCATCACACATTGTATACATGTATTGAAATAATAACTCTGTACCCTACAAATATGTACAATCAATATGTTTCAATAAAACAATTTAAATAATATATGACTCTTAAACAGAAGCAACCAAAGGGAAAAAAATAGATAAATTAGACTTCATCAAAATTAAAAACACCTATGCTTTAAACAGCATGTATTAGTTTGTTTCTGTTGCATACCCTTGACCTTGGTGTTATCAGGATTTCTATTGCTTATAACAGAAAATACATGAAACTGGGTAATGCATAAAGAAATATAATTTATTTCTTACAATCTCAGAGGCTGGGAAGTCCAAAGTCCAAGGGACTCATCTGGTGTGGGCCTTTCCCACATACAGACCAGTTCCCCGCTCACTGGCTGAGCGAGGTGCGGGCGCAGCACCGAGGGTTGCGATCCCGTTGCCGGTCCCGGTCCGGTACGGGCGCGACACTGAGGGTTGCGATCCATTGCCGGACACGAAAAAAGACAAAAAGGAGAAAAAAAAAAGTTTTTATCTTTGTTTCACTGCTTTCTAGATTTGTCTGGTCTCTCTTTCTCTAGTTTCCTAAGGCAGAGTGAGGTACGAAAGCCTGAGTCAGGGGAAGACAGAAGGGCTAAGTCTGAGAAGACACTGCAGAGACACTGTGTTAGGATACACTGCCATGGTCCCTGCTACTCTGCTATGTGACTGATAATGAGAAGAGACTGTGGATGGACTTCACAGAAGAGCCCTGCTACAGAAAGCCACTCAAGCGCCCTATCTTTCCACACTGAGCTCTGGTGTATCTCTGGGAAGTGGAGAAGTGGTAAGAGTTCCCATGGAGCTTTCTTCTGAGGAAGGCTCTGTGGCAGATATCCTAATCCCTATGTCATAATGCCATTGTGAATTCACAGCTCTCCCTTCACTCATGTTACTCATGCCAGACAAAGCAAAGAAATCAGGGCTAATGAACCATCTAGAAACAGGCCATGGGGGTTCGATTTTGTGTAAGAGACATGGCCAGATTACATGGCGGGCCAGGGGTGGGTGGGTATTTCCCTGGACTTCACAGGTCTTGGGAAAAGAGGGGATGATAAAGCAATGAGTGCCTTTGTGCAGAGCGTAGAGAGAGACAGCAGTCTTAACTCATCTATACATTTCCCATTTAATTCTAATGACAGACAGAGGGCAACTTAATTTTAATTGTAATCGAAGATATCGAAGAAACAATTGAATGGAGGAGGTTGCAGGAGAAGAAGGAGAAGAGAAAGATAAAGAAAGAGGTGGGTAGAATTCCATGTGGTTAAGAGAAATCCAGAATGGTTATATTTAATATCATGAGGGCATGCAACTTCGCCTCTTACGGATCCAGGGTCTAAAATAATCAGGAGTCAACTCAATATTGGCTCATTTTCCTCCATCCATCCCCTTCTCAGCTTGGGTTCTGTGGATCTAGGTCTGACTGTGACACAGAGAGTGACTGGGAAGAATGAAAGTCATCAAAAAAATGAATGGGGCTGAGAAGTGAGAACGTGAGGACTCTGAATTAGAGAGTAGAATGTTCAAAATATGGCGAGGCTGGGAGTAGATTATGTGGTAATGATGCTGAAAGCCCATCACGGTATAAAAATACATGGTTGTGGCAGAGAGAAATCAGCCAATGGCGGGTTGGGAGTAGAATTAGCAGAAGCATTATGAGGCCAAACCTCCCAAACCCAGTGAACACTGAAGAGGTGAAGTATGACTCTTCACTCTCGCATCCCTACCGCACCCTTCTAGTTACTAATGGCTTTTCCCTTGATCTGTGCACTGGTAAAGTAGTCAAGGGAAAGACACTGTGACTCTGAGGGCGAGGCAATGTGCCCATAGTGGCAGAGGGCCCCCTCCAGCTCCCCTGACTCTCAGTGTTCTGATAACTCCCCTGAACCCTCTGAAAAAGGGTTGACTGTTAAGAGAGAGAATCCAGGCCCCTTCCACGATCCTGGAAGTTGGTGGCAGGAAACTCTCTGAGTGGTCTCTCTTATTTCTGCCTAGAAAGATAAAAAAAGATTAAAAGCAGCCATAAAGATCCAGGCCTGGTGGCGCGGCACCCTGGTGCGCCGGACGCTGCTGCACGCAGCCCTCAGGGCCTGGATGATTCAGTGCTGGTGGAGGACGACGTTGATAAGGCAGGTGGAGAAGAAGAGGCGGGCAGCCTTGACTGCCCACACCACCAGGGAGCGGGCAGTGGTCAAGCTCCAGTCTTTGGTTCGTATGTGGCGCATCCACTGGCGATACTGCCAAGTGCTCAATGCCCTCTATGTCATCCAATGCCACTGGCAATGCCACGACTGCCAGACATGCGCTCTCCTCCGGAGTCACTGTGTGGTCACAGCCACTCACCTGCAGTTCCACATTGAGATCATCAACTCCTAAGGGTTGGCAAAAAGGGGTACTATGTCTTCTGTCCCCAGTAAAGGTCTAACCTGGTCTGGTGTGTCTCATGGTGTACCCAAGCTAATGGGAATCTTGGGCCTTTGCTGCCTCTTCTTCTTCCTGGGAAAGAACTTTAGTGAGGTTTTCCACCTGTGTCCATGAACCATGTTTTGGACTGACAATGGCCATATGCCACTCACTCAGTTGTCAAAACAGAAACTGAGACCCCAGTCTGCCCTGACATATGACAGATCCAGAAGTCCCAATTTCCATTGCCAGCCCCATTCCTTTCTCCTCACCTGGGTATCTGGAAGACAAGTGGGCTGCATCTTCCTGAAGACTCTGAGCACCTCTGCAAATAAGTACAAACTATGAGACTCTGCTCTGTCAGCCTGGGGTCAGGGTAGGCTGGGGTCTGGAATGCCTCAGTTTCCTCTTTGGGAGGCATCTAGCAAGAGTGCCAATATTTGACTGATTTTCCTGGGAGCAAGGCAGTGCAGCCCCAAGCAAAGGACAGGATGCTGGCCTTAGTGATGAATGGGGCTGGGGCTGGGCATACCACTGGGCAAGCAATGACCCTTGGAACTAGTAGAAAACAGAATTTCACAGCACCTCAACTCTTTCTCCATAATTCCCTCACCAGAAATCCTCTTCCCAAGGGCTGTGTGACAAACAGGGCTCCCTCTGATAGTACCCCCACCCCTACTTTTATCTCAATTCTCGGTGATTTTATCATTGGCCAACATGATCCTACCAATCTCCTTAAGACTTACCTCAAATAAACTTTTTATTCCCCCCTACTCAACCACTCACTGTCATGGTCACACTAAAGCAGCACCATACAACAGAACTTTCTGTGACTTATCATTGGCCAACATGATCCTACCAATCTCCTTAAGACTTACCTCAAATAAACTTTTTATGCCCCCTTACTCAACCACTCACTGTCATGGTCACATTAAAGCAGCACCATACAACAGAACTTTCTGTGACGGTAGAAATATTCTCTATCTGTGCTATCCAATATGGCAGGCACTAGCCACACACGGCTGTGGAGCACCTGAAATGTGCCTAGTGCAACTGAGGAATTGAATTCTTAATTTTATGTACTCTAAATTTAAATAACCACATGTTCCTAGAGGCTACCCCATTGGACAGTGAGACTCTAGGCCTCACAATTACCAATAATTGTATTATTGCTCAAATTGCTTTTTCTAATGTTCCGTCCTCTAATTACTTTCTCCTTTCCTTCCAGCTCACCTTTTCAATAACACCAATAGAATATTTCTTCAGATGTGATAAGGACTTTCAATCTATTGACCCTACCAATTATTTTTTTACAGCCGTCAACCTTGACATGCCTTTGTGTCCTTCCTTACCCAGTTCAGATTCTGTGATTAATTATTATAATCTCTCCCCTGCTGTATTAGTCTGTTTTTGTTGCTTTCAATAACACCAATAGAATATTTCTTCAGATGTGATAAGGACTTTCAATCTATTGACCCTACCAATTATTTTTTTACAGCCGTCAACCTTGACATGCCTTTGTGTCCTTCCTTACCCAGTTCAGATTCTGTGATTAATTATTATAATCTCTCCCCTGCTGTATTAGTCCGTTTTTGTTGCTTATAACAGAATACATGGAACTGGGTGATTTATAAAGAAAAACAAAATTTATTGCTTACAGTTTCTGAGGCTGAGAATTCCAAAGTCCATCTGGTGGTGGCCACGGTGACCAGGGGTCTCACATTGCAAGATGGTGGAAGCAGAGAGGAGCAGAGAGAGAGACAGATTCTCCTCTTCTTTTAAAGCCCTCAGAACCATACCCCTGACCACCATTTTTAATCCATTCACTACTGCACGGTCCTACAACACAATCACCTCTTCAAGGCTCCACCTTTCAATTACTATAATAGGATTTCCCACCCTCTTAACAGTCACAGTCGGGGCTAAGCTTCTGATACATAAAACTTGGGGGACACAATTCAAACTTCAGGGCGTTTAGGAGGGACATAATTCAATCCACTACACCTGCACAACTTGACTTTCCTCAGTTCTCTCTCTCTCTCTCTCTCTCTCTCTCTCTCTCTCTCTCTCTGCCCAGACATGTATAGAATAGACCCAACACCATCTCCCTGTTCTGTGTCTACAGAATAGCAGAGCATGGCTTGAACAAGACAAACAACCATGAGGCATGGTCTCAGTTTATATTCATGACTACATGTCTCAACTGGAAAAATTTCCCAGTAAATTTCTCTAGTATGTTCACATTTCCATTTTTGAGTTGAATAATTTATACCACCTCCTCTCCAAATGTCCAATTCCACCTCTCCCCTTGAGCCCATTTGACAATGTCACCTCCCACTCAACTGAAGAACTGGGAACAGACTGAATTCCCATCTTCCTACCACCTCATTCTCCATCCCAGCTGCATCTGAATCACACTCTCTGCCTTCCCTAGTTGAAATACATGAAGGTCTTTGACCCCATCAAAGGCCAACCTCTTTGTTACCCTGCTGCCTTCTCAAGGTATTTGATCATGTATTTATAACCCCACTGTCCACCTCTCCCATCTTTAAAAAATACTTCCTTGGCCAATCTCTGTTCTAGTTCCTTCTCCTAGTAGCAAAACATGCTGCCACTGTTTCTACTTCTGTTCATCCCATTTTCTCTTGAATCCTCTCCGATCAGTCTTCTATCCCTCTCACTCCATTGAGATTGCACTGATCAACATCACCAATATTCCATCTGGTCAAATCCAGCGGTTATTTCTCTGTTCTTACCTTATGTGTTCTCTCTGAGTCTAGCTACAGAGTTGAATACTCCCTCCTGATTGAAACATAATATTTTTGAAAGGAAAGCAACAAAAATTACATCATTTAACCCATAAATACTTTAGTATATATCTTTACTAGATGAGATATTTGTAAAAATATAACCACAATATTATCATATTTTTTAACATTCACAATAATCCCTTAATATCATGGAATATGTATGTACACCTAATAACTGAGCTTCAAAATACGTAAAGCAGAATTCTCCTGTGCCCCTTTGTAGTTAGCCACCAAACCCTAGCAACCACTGATCTGCATTCTGTCCCTATTGTTTTGCCTTTTCCAGAATGTCACATAAAAGGGGTAACAATTTGTAGCCTTTTGAATTTGGCTTCTTTCACTTAGCATAATGCATTTGAGATTTCTCTGTGGTGCTGTGGGTATTAGTTTATTTGTTTTTATTGCTGAGTACTATTTCATTGTATGGATGTACCAAAGGTTTTCACCAGTTGAAGGATCTTGGAGTTATTTCCAGTTTGGGTGATTACAAATGAAGCTGCGATGTATATTTGTGTACAGTTTTTTGTGTGTGTGAACCTAATTTTCACACTTTACTTGGTTAAGAACCTAGGTGTGGGAGCTTCTGATTCTGGCACAAGATGGTGTTGAGCCGTTTTTCCCTCTCTCCTCTAAATACAACTAAATACCCTGAAAATAATTCAACAGACAATTATAAAAGGACTCTGAAATGTGAAAAGAAGGTGGATCAGCTAGGAACATTAAAAAGGATACCATGGTGAGTTCACTGGTTTTCTATTTACCTACCATATATTTCAGACTAGGCACCAGAGATGTCTGCAACTCAGAACCACCAAGAGGCATAGGGAAAAAACAAAACAAAAAGTAAAAACACATAAGAAAAGGCTGCTCTAGCCAAAGGAAGGGGAACCCCAACAGGAAATAAACAAGAAGACACATACCTAGTAGTAGTAGTGGCTTATCTGCCTGCAACAGCGACAACACCAGAATCCAGATGGGCTAACCCATCCCTGCCCCATACCTGCTGGCAGCCTCAGGCAGAATCTTCCCATAGAAGCAGCAACAGTGGAACCCAGACTGATCCACCCACACCACACCCCACATCTGCCCGCAACAGTGTCCTAATCTGTCCTCAGAAGAAGAACCCGGGTGGGTTCAGAACCCAGGTGGGTTGACCTTCTGCATTCCCCACCCACTGTCAGGAACAAGCCTGATCCACCCACACAAGCAGAAATAGTAGAATCTGGGCAGGCCAACGCATCTCCCAACCCCCACTAGGTGGCAGGAATGGGTGGGTGGGGTACTCCTGCACCTAAGTTTCTTTGGGCCTGGTGTCTCCTGGTCCTTTACCCAGCAGCTCCTGGCCATTCATCCAACCACAGAAGGAGATCCAAGACAGGAGTCTCCTGGACATTCACCAGACAGCAGAAGGCAGATCAAATAGGCCCTTCCCTTCTCAGTGGGACTGGCAGAGATAGATTAGGAAACCCACTGGTACCAGGTGTCCAGAAAACAGTTCAGGGGTACTGATTTTCATTACAGAGGTCCAGTATCCCTCACCACTCTCCTGATGACAAACAGGAGACCCAGGAAGTGTCTTGCACTTGCAGGTGGCACCAGAAGAGATCCAGTGTAAACTCAAGTAGACCCAGAAAATAAAGCAGACCAGAATAGATTTGAAGGTGCTCAGAAAAGTAAATTGTCACTGGAAATAGAGCCCACAAACATAGGCCAGAATTTACATGCTAAACCTAAACAGGATGCTGTCTTCTAAAATAGGAGATATAAATAGCATAGTTTCCTAACATAATATCCAAAATGTTTAGGAAAAAATAGAAAATCACTCATTTTACCAACAACCAATAAAATCACAACTTGAATGAGAAAAGACAATCAAGAGATGATGAATGAATCAAATGTTGGAGCCTTGAAAAGATTTTAAAGCAGCCACCATAAAATTGCTTCAGTATTTTAAATTTTCAGAATTTTAAATTCTCTTGAAATAAATGAAAAATAGAAAACCTCACTAAAGAAATAAAAGTTAGAAAAGAGAGCCAAATGGAAATTATGGAACTGAAAAAATACAATGGCTGAATTTTTTTCAAAACTCACTAGATTGGCTCAATAGCAGAGTAGAGATGACATAAGACAAAATCAATAAACATGGGGACAGATCAAAAGAAA